ATCCACAGATGTAAATCAGAGGACAATTAACTGTTCATTCATTGCACACCACACACACACACACACACACACACACACACACACACACACACACACACACACACACACAGACCAATAAGCCGGTGGAGATGCTTTCAGCGCCCCTCCCTCCCCAAAGTGTTCTGGAACCTATCATTTGAATTAGCCGAGTCAGGCTGGGAGCGGGCGGGGAGTCCTCCCGCCCTTCTTAGGAGGGGCTGCATTGCAGGGGGAGACGGAGCTGCAGACTCTGTCACTGAAGGGAGGAGCGAGGAGACAAAGCCGGCAAAGCCCCTACCAGCTTCCTCCTTCTCCAGCCCAGCGCCCGACCCCGGAGCCTCTGAGGCATCCTCTCCATCTTTGGAACTCGCTAGTAATTCATTGATAACAGGTAAATAAATTGAGGAAGGGGGATCTGACTGAAGACCCCCCAGATAAGATTGGGGTGGGGGAAGTGTTCAAGAAGAGAGAAGGGGGCGCTGTGAACAATAGTATTCACCGATTTAGATCTCTTGACTAAGATCTCTATCCATGCCTTGTTATCATGTACCTAGGCATTAATTTCTAGCAATTTTCAGGTGATTACATCCCGACACCTACCTCCTTATTTCAAGTATCCATTTTCCTATAATTTTTTGTCCTGTGTATTTAATTTCTTCACTCCAGTTATATCTTTCTTTTCAAGCTATAATTTTTTTTCCTGCCAGTTGCTTGTGGAATCTCTACTCCTATAATCTCTCTGACCTCTACTTCCCTATTTCTCCCCCCACCTCACCCAACAGTGTTCTATTTGTCTCTGAGAGAATTTGGGTGGGTGGGGTATGGGTTATTATTAAGAGTAATCCTGACCTTTATTTTTAATAGATCCTTCCCATCGCAAATTTTCCCAGGCAGTTTGAGGTAGGACAAGTGGGGATCTGTGTGTCAGAGAAAAGTCTCATCTTGTATTGAAATCAGTACAGCCGGAGGGTTTGCAGCTATGAAAAAAACTGGGGGAAGGTTGTGGCTAGTAGCAAAATCCAAGCTCAGAAGAGGCACGTGAGATCCGAGAGCTTCCATTTCTCTCCACCCTCGCGCCTATGGTGGCAGCATGACACAGCAAGGCTGTGTGCACTAGGCCTTGAAGGCCCACCAAGGATCTGGACAAAGGGTATTTGAGCATGTCTATATGGTTCAGAGAAAGTATGTCCTTTTAATATGTATATATGTATTAATAGCTCTTAAGAATAGACTGTTTAGAAATTACCTTTGTCTAAAATACCCCACTAAATTGAAGGATATTGGGAAGATTCATTGGGCATATATACCATGGAACAAGACACTGTCAAAGCTAATAGAAAGATGAGATCATGCATGGTGGAGAATATTGGGAAAGGGAAGCGAGCCAAAAAGGTTGCTTTTACAAAACTGGAGGACTTAGGGATTAATGTTTTCATTACTACTGTCTTTTTTAATAAATAACCTTTGGTATTTAAGCTTCAGTTTTCTGTGTTGTCTTACATTATATTCTTTTTGTTTGTTTTGTCGGTCGTGGGGCTTGAACTCTAGGCTTGGGCACTGTCCCTCAGCTCTGCAGCTCAAAGCAATTGCTCTACCACTTGAGCCACAGCGCCACTTCCTTACATTATAGTCTTAATTTTAATGCCACATATGCTTGGGTGTCTACCATGTATTCATTCCATGTCTCTGGGTCTATGACATAGCTAGAGATTTTAGTCTTTTTGCATTATGTTTCACAGAATTTCCTTTAGCCTTATTTAGTTTTTTTTTTTTTTATTCTTTTGAGATAGGAGCCCCTTATATAGCCACCCTGTTCTCTTAATTCATTATCCTCCTTCCTCAGGATTACAGGTGTGTGCCAGTTCACCTAGCTGTAAGCTTTTTTTTTTTTGGGTCCAGTCATGGGGCCTGAACTCTGGGCCTGGGCGCTGTCCCTCAGCACTTCAGCTCAAGGCTAGCACTCTTCCAGTTGAGCCACAGTGCCACTTCCGGCTTTTTATTCTTTTTGCTTATGTGGTGCTGAGGAATCGAACCCTGGGCCTCAAGCATGCAAGGCAGCACTTTACCACTGAGCCACCTTCCCAGCCCCCCCCCCTTTTTTTAAATTAAACTGCAAGATAGCTCTACCAGGGCTGGGAATGTGGCTTAGCAGTAAAGTGCTAGCCTAGTGTACATGAAGCCCTGGATTCAATTCCTCAGTACCACATAAACGGAAAAAGCTAGAAGTGGCACTGTGGCTCAAGGGTAGAGTGCTAGCCTTGACCAAAAAAAAGCTCAGAGACAGTAAGTACCCAGACCCAGATCAAGCCCCAGAACTGGCAAAAAAAAACAAAAACAAAAACCTCTACCAAATACTCAGACTGTTCAGACAATTTTTATATATATTATAATTTTAAGAACAGGAGTTTGTTGGGCTGGGAAGGTGGCTCAGTGGTAGAGTGCTTGCCTTGCATGCATGAGGCCCTGGGTTCGATTCCTCAACACCACATAAGCAAAAAGAAAAAAGCCAGAAGTGGCGCTGTGGCTCAAGTGGTAGAGTGCTAGCCTTGAGCTGAAGAGCTGAGGGACAGCACCCAGGTGCAGAGTTCAGGCCCCACAACTGGACCAAAAAAAAAAAAAAAGAAGAGGAGTTTGTTAAAAAGGTCTTTTCACTTTTCTCAAATTCTAGCTTAGTCTATACTGCCCTTCACATTTTCCCTACACAGGGATAATCATAAGTTTCGAGAATACAGATATAGGGTTATATAAAGCTGTATGCAATTGTATATAATACAAGCAGGACTATATTAAGACTTAAGAGCCCGGCTGGGCGCCAGTGGTTCACGCCTGTAATCCTAGCTACTTAGGAAGCTGAGATCTGAGGATTGCAGTTCAAAGCCAGCCCTGGCAGGAAAGACTTTTTTTTTTCTTTTTCTTTTTTGTCAATCATGCGGTGCGGCTTGAACTCTGGGCTTGAACTCTGGATAGGCTAGTGCTTTACCACTAGAGTCACAGTGCCACGTCAGGCTTTTTCTGCTTATGTGGTGCTGAGGAATCAAATCCAGGGCCTCATGTATGCGAGGTAAGCACTCTACCACTGAGCCACCTTCCCAGCCTGAGCTACCTTCCCAACCCCAGAAAGACTCATCTCCAATTAACCACCAGAAAACTGGAACTGGTTCTGTGGCTCAAGTGGTAGAGCACTGACTTGAGCTGAAGAGCTGAGGGACAGCGCCCAGGCCCAGAGTTCAAGCCCCACAAACAACAACAACAACAAAAGCCAGATAACTAGGGGAAAAAACAAATATAGTAAACAATCCCAATAGAATCCATAGCACTGTTTATTCCTAAAGCCTACTTTTTAGGATCTCTGTACTCCCAGTGCAAAATTGGCATTGGTTGATTAATAGGTATAACCTTTTTTTTTCTTTTTCTTTTTGCTCACTTTCTATGCTCATGTCTCTGCAGATTACTGTGGAGATGATCAGAGATGAGTGTCATGGGATGATCTCACCTTTCCAACCTACACCCCCATCCTGAATCACTTTCCTTTTAAGAGCTTGTCTGCTGAGTAATGATCAGTTCCCAGGGTTTATTTTGGAGTTTGAAACTATGTGTTGTTTTTTTTTTTAGACAAGGCTATGTAGCCCAACCTGGCTTTAAACATGCTCTTCTCACTTCAGCCTCCCTCCTGATTGCTGGGATTACAGGCTGTGTCACCATACCTAACTCAGCAAATCAGAATGTGGTTTTTGTTTTGTTTTTGTGCTGGTACTTGGGCTTGAACTCAGGGCCTGTCCCTTACCTCTCTCACTCAAGGCTAGTGTTATGCTAGTTTAGTCACAGCTCCACTTCCAGCTTTTTGGTGATTAACTGGAAATAAGCGTCTTAAGGACTTTACTGTCTGGGATAGCTATAAACCCTAATCCTCAAATCTTAGCCCTTTTGAGCAGCTAGGATTACAGTCTTGAACCACTAGCACCTGGTTTTTTTTTTTTTTTT